TATGTATATCATCTGTATATATCTGAACCAAGTTGTGTGCAGAGAGGTTGATATATTTACAGAAAACAATTTTTACAATTAAAGTTCGCATTTAAACATGAACCTGTGTGCTGTGACCTTGGCCTGGCCCGGAATGTGGGCCGGGGTACGCAGGCACAGTGGCCACGGCCCCTGGCTGGAGGCTGCCTTCCTGTCCAGCGACGGCAGGCGAGACCGGGGAGCAGCTGCCCACCCTTCCAGACGCTGCAGTCTGGAAGACTCCAGAAGCCAAAGCTGAGAAGAATACACCATCTAGAAGAGCCATGGTCGCGTAATCTCAACCCCATTAGGCAACTTCCAGAAAAAGCCCTTTTGTTTTACAACATCTCTGACCAAATTTATATAGAGTATAGGTGTGTGCACTTGTATAATCTAAACTTCCCATTTTTCACCTGCCGAGGAGTTGGTTAAACTCACGCAGAATCATTTGCCGCCCTGTCGGCTCTCAAGCCCCATGGTGGGTGTGCAAAGCCAGGTTCCTCCTCTGAGGTTTGAACCTTGCACCTCCTGAGGATGGGCGTTGTGAGGACAGGTATGACTGCTGCATGTGTGAAATGGTGCTCCTGGCTGGAGCGGAGGAAAGCATTTCGTGTTGAACCGTTTCATAGAAAGTCCTTTCAGTAGAAGTAATCACAGCTTTTGAGTGAATTAATTTGCCCAGATGTTTGTGCTAAAAAGGAGAGGACCCCGTTCTCTGGGGCACAGCGTGGCTGAGAAAGCTGGCTCCTGTGTGGGCTGTGTGGAAGGACAGAGCCCAAGTCTGCGAGGAAACCAGGTCCACGCAGGCAGTAGTGTAAGTCAAAATGGAAACTGAAACAAGCCATACTTACATTTAAAAGTGAGCAAAAGTCTTAGTATGGATTAAGTGTTCCCTGACTACGTGTATCATTTTGGTTAGAATCACTAGGAACACACGCAGTGCTTCTGGGAAGAAGGGGCGTCCTGCACTGGCCACCTTGCAGGTAGGGAACCGCGATAGGGGATTTGCTTTTTCATAGGCCAGCATCCTCTTTTCCTCTGTGAGAGGCATGGGCTGCTAGGTGGTCCTTTTGCTGCTGTTTAGATTCTCTGTCACTGTTTGGCTAAAGCAGAGTAACGCCATCTCGAAGCACATACTGCTGCCGAGGTAAGCCTAATGTTTCGTGATGTGCGCAGGCAGCATTTTTGTAGCTGCTACATAACCCATTAAAACATCGCTCTTCACTCTGCGGAGGACACCTGGGTCTGTGCTCCTTGGTTTGAAAATGATCTACTACTTCCTGCTCGGTTTGCCCTCACAAAGGGAAGCGTGAGGCCCCCTCCAGCCCCTGCCACGCAAAGCACTGGCAAGGTGCTTGGAAGGAGGGCCTCACAGGAAAATGCCAGGGCAGTGTTAATGACGGCAACCCTTGGGTAACACACTTGGTCGATGGAAGATCTAACCAAGCTGGTAGCTGAACATTACTGGCTTCTGATGACAGAATGCTGTACTTTTTGCCATTTAATTCAAAGGGAATTCAAACAGTTGTATGACACTGTTAGAATGCTTTCTCTTCTCGGTACTCACAGGAAAAAAGAATCCATCTCAGATATAAATAACATTTATATATCGAGTAAATAAACTAGGATGAGCATACTAACATGTTTTTAATTATCAAAATTAAGTTTATCAATTACATATCAATAATTACAATAACTTTCAGTATGAACTTAACTAAAAAAGTTCCATTAATATCTTCTGTTGACAAGAAATGTGAAGCATAAAAAATAGATTACATTATAGTAACATTGTTTTGCTGAAAGCAGTATGCAAATACACCCACAGGGAGGAAAAAAAAGTTTTAACTACTCAAGAATTTATTTTTATGAATAAGGGATGTCACACTGCTGTGGTGTTTAAATTATACTAAATTTTTAGAAGGGTATGTAACAGTTTACTTGGATGACACTAGAAAGTACATACTTTGGCAACTACCCATGAAAGAGGTGAATGTAAATGTGAGGGGCACACATGATTTGTAACAATACTTTTGGGGACAGCACGGGCAAGAGCATAAGTGGAGCACTGCTTTAAACACTTGAGGGACCCTTTCAGACTCACTGGGGAGTCCGAGGCCCCTGGCAGGTGGAGTGGTTTTCAACATGCATCACACCCAGAGGGTTCTCATGCACACCAACAGTGAGAAAGCACTGCTTTAAAAAAAAAAAAAGCACTTGACAATAGCTACGGTTGAAGGAGGAAACAGCCTCACGTTTGCTGTTGCACAGAAACCGAACAAGCGCTAGGTAAGCACCAGAACTCAGAGCAACACTCGGGAAGGAGGCCTGGCAGGGCCAGACAAGCCTGGAAAGACCCCACCCGGGCCAGGGACAGGACACCACGGGGGGATAGGGAGCTCGGGCAGGCCCAGGGCCCTGCTCACCACAGCTGAGGCAGCAAGTTCCCAGGGTGAGGAAAGTCACTAGGAGGGTTGGCCGGCAGCACGGAAATGACTGAGGAGGGTGGTGTACTTGCCGTGAAAAGGCCCTTGGGGTCCTCTGTTCCCTTTTGGTCCCACGGGTGGCCTAAAGGGCAGCCTGGGAATGCCTCTGCCTCTGTCCCTCACTGGGCCAGGCTCTGCAGCAGCTGCTCTCGCTTCCGGGGGTCACAGAAGAACTGCAGTTTCCTGGGGAGCAGCTTCACCTCCACAGGCATTGCCTCATACTCCTCGCTGTCGATACTGAAGGCGCCCTGGCTGCCCTGTGGGGGAGAGGGTGTTAGGGCTGCGCTTGGGAAGTGCGGGACACAACCGTGCTGCTTCTAGAAACATCCAGCCCTCCCACTGGTGAAAAAGGGCTGGCTTTGACCCTTTGCTTTCCTCCCAGAGCATTCTGGGACTTATCAACAAGGTGAAAGTTTTCCAATACTTATCAAAAGGAAGGGGCAAGCATGCAATATGTGGTCCTCGTCCCTAAGCTTTCTCAAATGAAAAGTGACAAAGACTAACTTATGAAAGGTGTTCTGTCCACTGGATCATTTTCATCCTCATAAGGGTCAGAGATCTGTATCTAAGGGCATCAGCATTAGTAAAAGGGCCCTGGAAACTCAAACATGCATTTAATTCAGCGTTTGCCAGTCACCCAGAAACTCCTGTATACCACCGTCCTGTGGGAATTCCGTAGCATCACAGGACGGCTCTCAAGGTGACCTGCAGTCACTTTCCTTGGCTAACTCCAGTTAAACAATTACAATTCAGGTACTGTTACAACACTCCAGTTTTCACTTTTACTTAGATTATTGTGGCATTTTACAATACAGAAAAATTAAGTGCTGAACTAATATCTGGTACCAGATCCTTTATTTAAAATGCACTGCATTATTCAACAGCTAGACAACTCTTCATATTAGACCTTTTTTGGAGACAGGGTCTGACTAGTCCAGGATGGCCTTGAACTCACTGTGTAGTCAGTCCTGCCTCAGCGCCTCCTAGTGCTGGGATTAGAGGAATGCACCACACCAACAGGCTACCTCTGATACTGTTGACATGGTGAAAACACAAGGTTGGGGCCTGGGAAATAGCTCAGTAGAATAAGCGCTTCCCTGGCAAGCGCAAGGGCCTGAGTTTAATCCCGTGTTCCGCCAAATAATAACAACATATAAGGTCACATTTGAGGTCTCCCTCACGAAGTCCCAGACCTGACAAAGTGCTTGGCACACAGTAGATGCCTCTGCCCACCTCACCTCGGGAAGCAGCAGGCTGCAGCGGCTGGCTTGGAGACACTCGGTGCCCTCGGTGCGCAGCTGGGGGTCTCTCACCTTCCTACTTCTGTGGGCACAGGGAAAAGCAAGCTTAGGAACCACACGCCACATCGGGATATAAAACTACAGCAAACTTTCCCTCCTATGGGGTTAAAAAAGTGGGCAGAGATGTGGGTTCTTCAGGGTCTTTTTTGTAGCGAGCCCTGCCTGGCCTTATGATAGATTCAAGACCGAGAAGGCTCACTGGTAAGAGAGATACATGTCTTCCGCATGTATCTGATTCTTAGCTAGTAATTGCAGTTTTTTAAATTAGAATGAAATAAAACCTCTTATTTGGTTCTTTTTGTGATTATTACCTGAAGAAAATACTTTTCAAGATAAGCTAATCTTATACATTCCCTGATGGTTCTCTGCGCTCATACTACTGGGCCCAGGGTTTCTTGACCACATGGCTTTGGAATAGAGCTGCCAGACACAGACCTGCATGTGCACCCTTTCTGCGTAGGCCTCCTAACAGAAAAGGGGGAGAGCAAACCCGAGCAGGTCAGTCCATATCACTGCCAGGTGGGTGACAGCAATTCTTCATAAAGGAAAAGGTCACCAGGGTTCAGGAAGCAGATTCACTGTGTTCTAATCAGCCATCCACAAAACGTTCATGACGACGTCCCATTTCCTGCATTATGAACCAGCTGCTGCTGCTGAATCCGCACCATAGTGACTTCCCCTGGCTTAAGGATCAGGGTGGGGTTTTCCTCTTAGTTTTGGACATTAGTTTTATAAAGGCGATTTGAAGATCGCTGGTTGCATTGGGCAGGCTCAGTTAAGCCTGATTCTGCACAAGAGGAGGAGAGATGGGCTGTTCCCCTCTTCCCTGTGCTCCATATACTGCGTGCAAGTCAAAAGGCTGTGGAGGGAGCTATTCCATCTGTGAAGAATCCGTACCCAAGGTGAACACCACAGACTAACCAAAGGCATTGTGCTGGCAGCACCGAGGCAGCTCAGGATGCAGCCATGGAGACCAGGCCGCCGCGACAGCAATGTCCATGCCCTAAATGGGCACAAGATGGAGCCCTGAGACAAAGCACAGAGAGCCGGAGCCGAGCAGATTACCAGTTGGCATGGGAACACGCCAGCCCCTCAGAGGCTCTGCTGGAGGGTGGATTGTATTCTTAGCCAATAAAATTGGGGCAGTGGAAGGACTTAACAAATCAGGCAGGACTAGGAATGGCCTGTTGTATTGGAAAAGGGAAAATGCCTGGGAAGTGTCCAAGGTGCTCAATACCTTTTCAAGTTTTTCACGAATGCCTGGGGAATAGAAAAGATGAACTGACGTGCCATGTAAGGGACCTGGGGAAGCAGTACACAAACTTTTCATGTGTGACTAAAAACGTCCATCAGTACAGATGGTCATATTGTATTCCTAGATGGGGAAAAGATGCAGAGACGTTAAATGACCTCAGTCACAAAGTCAGCGAGTAGCGGAATAAAGATCTGTATTCAGCTCTTCTACGTGGAAACTAGAGTGCCTGATGCCAGGCTACGCTCCACTGGATTCCTTAATTTCAGTTGAAAGGCAAAAGGCTGCTCTCACAGCTGATCGACCACAATGAGCAGGGTAGGCCAGAGCAGGAAAGGGGCGTTGCACATAACGGCTCCGTAGGGAAAAAAGAAATGCAAAATTCCTAGCCAGAGCAGCCTTCGGTGCGTCTCTCAGTGCCTGTGGAGCCCTCTCGGTAGCAGGGACCAAGAATACAAACCACTTGAGGAAGCCCCGTTTCCTACAAACCGCAATCCACTTACCCTATGATTATGAAATCTCCTTTGCTGACAGTGTCGGGTTCAATGCAGATGTTCATAAAGTCTTCTTTGCTCTAAGAAGTTAAGACCACCGCTAATGTCAGTATGCTTGATGTTTTGGCTAACACAGCTTATTCTCATACCCTGCCTTCGTGTTTGTAGGTTCAGGTTCTGAAGCTGTGAATTACACAGGGGATTCTACTTCTAGTGATATAATCCTAATTTTTTTTTCACAAGAGTTCATATAGGATAATTAACAAATTCATCTCCATTGCTTTTTGTTGTTCTTAGTTTTTTGAGAAAATGTCTCACGGTGCAGTTTATGCTGGCCTCGAACTTGCTACGTAGCCTCGAACTCACAATTCGCGTGCCTCAGCCTCCCGAATGGAATGCGAGGTTTCCAGGCATGTGCCATCTGTTTTCCATTCTATAAGCAAAATAAAAACTGAAGCGTGGGAGGTCTTTGCACTTTGTTACTCACAGTCATAGGGATTAAAGTCCCCTGGTTTCCTCCCTTTCTGCAGGCCAAGCTTCCTGCCTTTCTATACCAGCAATTTTCAGTCTTGACTATAGCAGTGTCATAGCAGACCATGGTACTAATTGCATGGTGTGCTGAGTCCAGGGGCCTGTGCTCTTTAAAGTGTTCTGCATGCCGATTTGGTGTGCAGTCAGTTGAGAAACACCAATCCCGCACTCCCTGATTATGTTTTTGGAACCCAGTCTTTGCCAACCACAGAAACTCTGGAAGATCTGCGCTGCAAGGAGTAGCTATGCAAACAGCCTTGGCCCGCACCGCTACTCACAGCGCACTACCAGTCAGTGTTTGCACACCTCACCTCAGGCGTTGGTCCTGAGATGCTTTGGTATCGGCTACTCTGGTGGGTGTTCAAGATCTGTAGGCTCAGGGTAACACCCAGGCCCCTGTGTACTAAAAGCCTTTACCTGAATTTCCAGGGCGCCACCGAAGCTCACTATGTCTGCGCCTGGAGTTCCAAAGTGCGCTGGCAGTGTGAGTCCTTGCTCAGGGTTCACCTTTCATTTCACCGAAGTGCCAGCAAGGTACTGTAAACTCTTTGGGGTGTTTGGGTTGTGTACATTAACAAAATACATATGAATTTCCTTTGCTTTCTTTTTTTTTGGTGCTGGGAATTGAACTCAGGACCTTGCGCTTGGCTAGGTAAGCGCTGCACGGCTGTGCTATGTCCTCAGCCCCACAAACACGAATTTCTGTCTACAAAGAACTTATATGGATGAGACAGATAAGCCAGAATAAAATGGGAAATTCTCCAGTATCCTGGAAGATGAGTACACTCGAAGTATGTCAAAGCATGTCAGAAAGTGACACCAACTGGATGTGGCAGTGCACACCTCTGATCCCAGCACTTGGGCTACAAAGTGAGCTCAAGGCCAGCCTAAACTGCACAATGAAACTGTCTCAAAAGACAAAAAGAAAAGAAAATTGGATAAAAGAAACATCAAGGAGCATGGGGTGGCACCCATGACAGTGGCTGCACTAAAGAGAGAGGCAGCTGAGAAGGTGACATCCAGGCAGAAACCTGCAGACAAGGAACATGTCCAGGGCTGCAGTTGTTGAGCACCAAATGCACTGCAGGGCTGATTAACACTCAGAACCCAGTTTCTGTCAAGTCAAAGTTAAGAACAAACTCAGACTCTAGCACTATCCTCAGAGCTTCTAGTTTGGATCAGCGGTGAAGCCCGAGACTTACTTTGGACAAGTTCCAGGCGGCATGATACTGCCGATCTTAGGACCACACTCAAAAGAACTAGTGGTCTAGGGAAGATGTCATGTACACAAGGAGGATGGCCTGGGGGAGAGGCCTTCAAGTGAGAACACAGTGCGTGAGGGTGGAGAAGAGGACCAAGGAAAGAAAACTGACCTAGATAGCAGAAGAAGGACGGTGGAGGGAAGACAGGTTTGGCCAGAAGGGCGCTGTGGGCCACTAGGATGTGCCTTTTGGAATGTATGAGGAGAGCCACTGGCCAGCTCTTCAGAGGACCACCATGCTGTGCCGGGCTGAGAATTAATGCTGATGAGGCAGTGAGCCAGGAAGGAACACGGGGGAACGTGTTGGAGTGCACCAGGGTGCAGCAGGTGCCAGGAACGATGGCTGAGGGAGGGAGGGTATGAGGGAAGGAGAATGGTTTACAGCAGGGAGAGGGAGGAGACAGCTGTTGGGTGACCAGGCCTACTGTTCAGGAGGGAAGAGGAAGGGGAGCGGCCACCTCTGAATGTGCTCCGGGGAAAGCAGAGCCACGCTCCAGGAGCAAGCAGAGGGCTGACCCTGCAAGGACCAGAGAAAAGCATGTCAGCCTTGCAGACCCTGAGCTCTGCCGGCTGAGCAAAGCTGCCACACAGCGCTCAAACAGACTGGGTGGGTTCCAATAAAAATCTTACAGTGAAATCTGAATTTCATTTCATTTTAATACCGAATTCAAGAAGGAAGCAATGAAACCTTTCTCCAAGTCAGTGATAAGAAACTGATACTATGGCTGAGTGGGGGTGGGGGGTGCACACCTGTCATTACAGCACTCGGAAAGCTGAGGCAGGATGACTGCAGAGAGCTCGAGGCCAGGTTGGGCCATGTAGTTCAAGACCTGCCTGAACTACATAGCAAGATCCTGTCTCAAGGGGAAAAAAAAAGGATGACATCTGCCATCACTACTTCTGTTCATTTCTACCTAAGTCCTAGCCAGTGGTATGATAAGACACAAGGTTGTAAAGGTACATATAAGGAGGAAACAAATCCTGTACTGCTTGGAGTTAATGTAGCAATTTCTAGGAAATCCAAAAGAATCCATAGATAGGAATTAGGCTGCTGATCAGCATCCACATCAAAAATCAATTACATGTCCATCTATTAAATCAGAAAATTAGTAAATTTTAAGGTGCTATTCGTAAAACGAAAGATAACCAGGGATATATTGAGCAAAAGACAAAATGCTACAGAGAAAAGTACAAAACTTCATTGAGAGCTGCTGGGGAGATGCACAGTGTCACATTCACTAGAAGACAAATGTCATTTCTGCTCAAAATGATCTATGGGCACAATGTAACCCAGACTAATACATAAAAGGTATTTTTAGGAATTTAATAAACATTCAAAAATATTTATAGTCAAAAGAGCCCACAGCCCAAAGGACTCTTAAAGGGCCAGGGAGATGGCTCAGTAGAATAAGTGCTTCCCTGGCAAGCACAAGGGCCTGAGTTCAATCCCCGGTTCCACCAAAAAAAATTTAAAAAATAGAATTATAAGTGTACACCAAAGGACTCTTGAAGAACAACTGAGGAATGTGTACAACCATAATTAGGAGAATAGTACCAGTACAGAAATAGGGAGACAAACATTTACATGTACGTGGACAATGTGTGACAGCTCTAAGTGGGAGCATTTTTTTTTAAAACAAAAACACTGATGCAAATAATTTTAATCTAGTATTTAATAGTAAATGAA